TTTGCCAGACTTTTTGTAACCCCAACACCTAATGCCAGAACTAGCACATGGTAAATATACAATAGGGGTTTTGTTTGTTTTTGCTTGTTTGTTTTTTGTCAAACTGAATTTAATGAGTGTGGTCTACATTTTGGGTATTTTCAAACATGTGACGTCCTTTCAGATGAGTCTGGTAGAACCTTCCTTCCTCACACATGTTGGCATATTCTGCTCTCATCTTGGTCCTTTCCCACATAATCAACTTCTCTGCACAAAATAATTTTCAGAATACATGCACTTGCTCTTATTTTCCCAGGTTTTAAGAATGTCCTCTTTTGACCCCATAGTATCTTCTACCTAGATCCACACTCTTTACTCCCCTTCAACAACAGCCTGCTTTTAGAGGTTGCACAAACTTTTTCCATTTTCTTACCTCCTCTTAATCCTCAAACCAATCAAATCTGACTTCTGTTCCCACCACTGTGCTAAAACTCTGTCATCGCTGTAGCCAACAACCTCAAAGCTTCAACCTCCGATGGCCACCTTTCTTTCCCTGCCTCACTCATCCTCTCAGCAGCATTGGAAAAGATCAAACCTCAATCTCTGCTCAACACATACTCCCCCTGGGCTTCCTTGATATCACTTCATCATCCATCCTTCCGTATGTATTGCTGGTGTTTCTACAGGCTCAGTCTTCTACTCTTCCACATGTTGGGTTCTCAGTGCAGCGAGTTACTCGCTCTAGCTATCCTCGCAAGTGGTCTCATCTTTCTGGTGGCTTTGCTTTTTGTGAATCCTGAATGTGCCACTCCAGCTCAGATTGCTCCTCTGAGTTCTTAACTGCTAACTCAAGCGCCTGCCAGGGTTTCAATGTGGACATGTTGCACCCATTTCAAACATGATGCCATGAACATGAACCATGGATTCCTCTCTCCTCCAAGTCTGTTGCCATCTTGTCTTCCAAACCTAGTCTTCTCCTTCTACCCATTTGCTTAAGCTGGAAATCTGAGTCATTCTTGATTTTCTCCTCTCCCCATCCCATAGCCAATCCACAGAAAGTCCCTTCAATTTTATCTCTCAGAATAAATATAATGGACAGCGGGGGATGACTGAGCCCTTTGCACTTCTCCAGCTTCATCACAAACCTCTCGTCTTCAAGGCCCAGCCATGCTAGCTGCCTTGCATTTCTAGCACATGTCAGCTTCTTTTCCACTTTCAGGCCTTTCTTCCACTTGCTTCCACTTTTCACCCAGAGAGCCCCTTCATATCTTCTACGTATCCGAATACTCAGAATTCTTTCCTTGGAAAGAGCTTCTCTTATTACCCAACAAGTGGGGTTTTATCTCTCATTATGGCTTGTATACTTTTCTTTAGAGGATATGTCACAATTTATAAATTCATAGTTATCTTCTGTTCACTGTTTGTTCTCTATACCCCTTCTTTGAATCCTAGTTTGAAGAATAAAAAAACCATGTCTGTTTTATTTAGTAACATGTATCCAATATCTAGCACCATTTGTGACACATAGCATATACGCAATTACTGATTGTTGAATCAGCTAGCAAATATTTTAGATGAAGAACCTAATGCCAGAACTAGTACATGGTCAATATACAATAGGGGTTTTGTTTGTTTTTGCTTGTTTGTTTTTTGTCAAACTGAATTTAATGAGTGTGGTCTACATTTTGGGTATTTGTCAAAGGGAGGTGGTATAGTTTGTCAAACTATAAGTTTAAAATTCAGGATTGAAATTCACCTCCTCCCCAGACACAGGTTCATCACCTTCCCCACCACACCGTAACAGTCTCCCTATAGGGAAGCCAAATAAGGAGTTCAGAGGGAACCAAATGGCTTAGGGATTGAAAGAAGAATAAATCTACAAAGGCATACTGCATTAGAAACAAATTATTTTGCCCCCCAAAATTTATAACTATTAAATAAATATTTATCATCAGTTATCGATTTCTGGATGGTACTCAACAGATGTTCAAAGACATGGCCATTGCCATTGAGTATTCATAGGGAATGTGACCAGTCCATTGCCCACGTGTCATCACACATGCTGTGGATCTGAGAAAGAGAAGGCCACAATGGCACTTACTGTTGTTTTTTCACCCTTCACTCACCACCAGGACAGGCATGCAATAGCACGAAGATGAAATGTGCCCTCCTTTTCAGCAAACCTTAAGAGAGGCATGGCTGAGATAGATATTTGGATATGTGTATATGCACATATAATATAATGTGGGCATTTCTTATACGTATGCATGTATACATTATAATATACAAAATATTTTTATAAGTACACACATATGAGTATATATGTATATTCAAACATATATATGTATATATATATGCAGGTTTATCTAAATCCATATATAATATGCATATATACCACAGATGTGTATATATATATATATAAATATGCATGCATAGGTATGCAGATATAGGTTCACACTCATATATACCTGCAAACAGATTAATCCAACTCTCTACTTCATGCATCTCCTCGATATTTATATATACCCACAAAAGTCTTGAGAAATATTTCCCTTGTGTTTTTGAGGGGTGAAGACAATATATCAATATTTTTTATAGTGTCTTTTTGTGTATGCTGGATCAAAACATGAGGCAATATGCATTATTATTTACACATCACTGCTTTTTAGTCTATGTTGTTTAAATATCTATTCATTTAGATAGTTTTTAATGTCAATACTATCTGCAAGCCTTGGTGAATTTTTTAACATAGGTAGGCACTCTTTAGAATTAATGGGGAAAAATGCTAAGGAAATAAAAGGAATTGTCATACAAAGGGAAAACCATGCTATGCTTTCAGTGAATTATGTCACCATAACTCCTGCACTCCAGAAGAATGAGAATATGAACATCTTTGCTGTGTGTGCACTTATTTTATCCCAGGGAGACCGCTCCCCCCAACCCCTGCAAATCATCTACATAATACTCAGAATAAGTACAGGATACCAATTACTCCAACCACGCTTATTTCATAAAACCAGTTTAAACCAGCCCTGTCATTTGTGTGAACTAAGAAAACCATCATCACTTGAAGAATCCCAAATTGTTCTGATTTCGTTACATATATAGATATTTTATAGGTAAATTATATAGAGAATCTATTTATATAGAGATCAATTTATCTAGGTAGACAGAATTAAATAGAATTATTAGATATACCATATGATTCTTTATATTCAGAAGTGGATCATTCCACAAAGATCAACCCTCCAATTACCATTTCAATTTTTCAGGCACAGCTACAAACTGGGGGGGGGGGTGAGGGACAGGGAGGGAATGACCTTTAAAAAACTGGAGTGGCCTCTTGGTGCATTCCCATTCCCTTTTCACCCGTGTTTTCTCTGGCAGGACCCATATGCACAGGCTGGCCCAGGCTGGTCTTATTATTCCCGAAGATAAAGCTCCTAGCACTTGCTGTGGGGAACCACCTCAAACTCTAAACTGCAACTGGATGTTTTTCTTTCTTTCCTTATTTCCCTCCTAACCAGATTAGCTTTGCTTAGCTTGTTATAATTATAACTTATCATAATATGAAAGATATTAACTTTTCCCCTCACCACTTGGTTGATAACACATCTAAGGTACGGTCACCCTAAATTCTTGCTGGAAGTTTTCCACCTCCACCTGATCATCACTGAGGAAATGTCTCCATATATTTAACTCCTTCAGACAATCAGTAAAAATTTAGTTTTCTATTTCATCTCTTTTTCATGAGACCTCATTCCTGGTGAAGTCCCACAGAAACAAAATCTGGTTTTGATTTTGCCTGTTAATATTTTTTTCCATGTAACCCCTGCACTGTGGGTCTTTGGACAATTCTACACACCTGCGGATTGGTGTCCAGCCAGCTTTGCTAGAATCCCATGTTTGCCTGACTCTTCGGACTTTCTAAGTCTCTTTCTAAGTCCAATGTAGTTTACTTTCATGCAAATATAAATCAAAATATGTGTTGACCTGAATCAGGTGAGTAAAATAGTCAAAGTAGCATCAGGGAAACACAACCACAGTATAATGCTATCTCCCAAGAGAAACTGATTTTAAAAATTTGTTTAGCTCAAATATATTGGTTTATAGGATTCAATTTATCTATTTTTACCCAAACTTACAATACACATACATGCTAACATATATAAACATATACACAGACATGCACCCATATATGTTGATGATAGACACATAGATAGATGATAAGTAGATAAATGGATAATTACCAAATACTGATACCTCCTCTACCATGTTTTTATAAGTAGATTTGATAACTGAATTTAATAAATATATTTAATATATCAGTAATAAAAATGACCAAATGACCACTAAATGCACACTCAATAGTATTTTTTTGGAAAGCCTGACCATCAACCCCCAAGTTGGACACCATCCATGAGCCCAGTATAGTTTTCCCAGATAGTTTCAACATATGTGCTATCGGCCACCTGAGTGAACTAAACCAATTGAACAAATACAATGTGGAGAAATCACAGCTTTCACCAGAAATCCAAGGGCATAACTCACTGCCCTCTTTATTCAATCTTTCAAGAAGTGTCACTGAAAAGATAGCTTATTTGTTAAGTTAAAACCTTATGATGCAAAATCAACACTTTAAAAAAAGACTTTAACACTATTTGAGTGCTTCTGAAAATTCATCAACACACCCAATAAAGAAATAAACAAAGCATAGACATTTAGCAACATAGCATCTCAAATCAGATATAAGGCTATTACAATAACACACTGCATATCTCTGCTATTTTTAAGAATATTTTACCCATTAACATAGCAAACACAACTCACCTTCATTCCTTCTGAGGATTGCTGGTAAACTGATCAAGAAATAATTAATATGATTGATGAATTGCAGCTATAAAATATTTCCAAAATGTAGATCTGTGTAAAAGTGTCACAAACATCAGCCATTCAGCCAACTGTCATATGATAAATACATGGTAGCTGCATAAGTGTATTAGAAAATGAGAGTAACCATCTGAAATGTATAAATATTCCAACCTTTACTGAAGGCAGCTTGTATGTGAAATTTAAATGGCATACAGTACACCAGAAAAGCTCCATTCCAAAGTTCTACAAAAAAGAATTGTATTTACAGATGACATGAACTAATCAAATACACCCAGCATCATCTGGAAAACTTAATGGCATGCCATAAGTTAATATCACAGTCAATATGCATAACAGAACCCATAATTATTTTTCTAATAATCAAGCCAAAAGCAAAAAATAAAAAGTAAATGAAGCAATATAAAAATAAAACGGGAAAAAGACAAAGGGAAGTACCACAAAAACGTTTATGATATCATTGAAATGACTTGAGGAACCAGTTAAACCCTTGAAGATTTTTATTATTATTATGAATACAGGCAAGTCCTGTCACTAAAATGCCCTTGTGATTCTGTAGATACGATAGACTGTTGCTATTCCTCTAAAGCTCTCTCCCATTAAAAAAAAGCTTAATGGGAAAGTACAAGATGTGCAAAGAGGACTGGGGCAATCTCCCCATCATCGCAGGAAGCACAGGACAGAGAGCAAGAGTTCATCTACCCCAGAGCATCTTCTAGGTGTGACTCCTTTGCCTGTGAGTCATGCCTTACAACAGCTGCAGAAAAACTGTGCCTCCAACCAAGCTCCCACGCCATGCCATTTCTCTCTTCCCTCACTAACCCCAAACTCTCCATGATGGAAACTTCCAGAATGCCATTACAACCTAAGCCTCTCAGATGGATTTGATTTCAATCAACATTCGTGCCAAATGAACATCTTTGATATGCAAAATGTCTGTGATAGTGAATAATAAAGAATTATTTTTCCCCAGAAAAACTTTTCTTACAGGAGGTTAAAAAAAATAGCAGATCTTTAAATGTTAATATACCTATTGTAAAGATGAAGAAATTGAGGGACAATAGTTAAGGGAATCAAATGATCAGAAGAATTGAAACCCATAAAATCTTGGGGAAAGTTAATATTTCATGGTATTAATAAAGTGAGGCCATTATAATGCTCAGATGGAAGTACTTTGAAAGTTTATAGCTAAAGACTATTAAAAGCATGTTTCATCAATAAATTTTAACATGCTGAGCATGTTACCAATATAGTTTTTAATGGGAATTTTAGAATATCAAATAGAATTATGTACTAAGCTAAGGTGCTTGGTTTTTACATATTTTAAACCATATTACATTATATAATTAACTCACTTTAAGTTCATAAAAATTCAATCTGCTTTATACATAATTTGGTTTACAGATTTGCTACTTTTAAATATAGTTTAAAGTTTACGTAAGCATGTATGACTAAGTGAATAACATTAGGTAACCAAACTACTGTTTGAATGAAAGCAGAGTAAGTACATGATCTTAGTTTTGTTTGTTGTGGTCCATTTTAACTGGTGACTACACGGCTCTCTAGCAGAACAACTGCTGTCTATTTTTAAATTAATCATTTGCTCACAGGAGCCAGTGAATGCATACATGGATATGTATGTGTGTGAAGAAGGAAATGAAATGAAACCTCTGCCAACATTTGTTTTCCATTCTTAATTATTCTCCAAAGATTTTTTTTTTTTTTAATTAGCAGACACGAACACTAAGAAGGAGGTGTTACGCGAAACCTAGATTTGCCCCATGTGATGGTGTTATCCTATTATCAAGGCTTTGCAACCTGCATGAACATGTTCCAGGGAAGGGAGACCCATTTCGCAATGTCCTAAAGAACTAGGTCCTTGACAGCATTTAGACAAGATGAAGACCTGCTGGTGTCTGGAGAGATTCTAGGACCTTCTTATCAGAGGAAATCACAAGTGAAATGGTTCAATCAAATAGCAACTACAAAGTTATATCAATTAATTCTATGCTGGGATCATTGAAATAAAGTGGAAAAAAAAGTATGCTCTGTTTAAAAATCTCTCAAGAAAATACTTGTGGCAACAGTTGATTTAGTGATGTATCTGAATATGCCGTCCAACAACTAGAAATAGTAATCCAGCCAGCAAAGAAAAAAATATCCCAGCTGGGGCCAGAAAAAATGACCAGCCATATAGAACAGAAGGGGTGAAATCCAAGCAGTCTTTCATTTTCATGTTTCTGTAGCTTTCCATGTCAGCCACCGCCTGGACCCAGATGACATACAGCATCACCGCCAGGGAAAACAGGATGCCTGGGAAAGAGAAAAGAAAAAAACCTTCAGCCTTTCTGAAGATGTTTTCTCAAGAGCGCTGCACTAAACCAATCATTTGCCTGATGATAAGCCTCTAAGAATATATTTCTAGCTAAATCAAATACTTTACACCAGACCCTTTATTATGTGCTTTATAAACATGTCATTTATCTTTCACTTTCAAAGCATCAAAAAGGAGGATGACAGCAGCATAAGAACAACAGCAACCGCTGATGTGTATTTATTCTGTGCTCACTGTGTGCCAGACACTGTATTAGGTGCTCGTGAACACCAGAATCAAACATCCCAGCCCTTGTAGAGATTATTTTCTAACATTTATTCATTTTTCTTACTGTGTGTTTGGCTTGGGATGAGCACTGTAATATATTATTTCTTTCAATGTATGTTCTACAATAAACCAAAAATAGGTAGTAATCTTTTCCCCCTGTTGTAAGTACACACAGGCACAGTTAGTGGTTTTCAGCACTGATTTTCAGCTTGGTTCTTTCTGCCTCTTGTTATACCATTATATTCCAGCCGATTAGTGTTGCAACTGATATGGCTATAAAAATAGAAGCCAAGGTAAGCACCAGACAAGAACAGAGATGAAAGCACTGAACCAACATAGAAGAACATACATGATTTTTCAAAACTGAAATATGTGTACTGAAGATTGATTATGGCAAAAAAATGCTCTTTTCAATAAATGAAACAGGGGATTGATGATAAAAGATTTTATGGACTACAAAACCACAGGTTTGAGATCAAGAACTTTATTAGGCAAAGAATGGGAAGGGAAAAGGAAGGAGGGAAAGAAAAGACGAAGGAAGGAAGTGAGGGAGGAAGAAAAAAAAGGAAGGAAGGAAGGGAAGAGAGGAAGGGAGGGAAGGAGGGAAAAGAAATAAATGCCAAACCACTAAGTAGAAGGCATCATCACAATTTATCAACAATTCCGATGTAGCTATAAACAGTTCAAAAATACCGTTAGAATTAGAAAAAGAATTACAGTGTTGGATCCTTGACCTTAACAAGTGGTATGACAGAAAAGCTTTGTGAATTCTGACATTTGAGACTACAGCTAAGTGTGTACTTTTCCAGGTACCTGTTACTGTAATTACCAGAAGAGAAGGATGCAGCTTTGCCGAGGGGCAGGCCTCATTCAGAGATTCCACCAAGCTGAATCACTAGTAAGTGGCAGGCTCCACACACAAACCACACAGCCTTAGTAATTCAAATTTGTTCCAAAGCAAAATATACTTGAGGGCACTTGCTCTTTGTCCAAAAGTTCAATCCAAACATGCCAAAGATCTATTACACTGGTTGAATTAACGAGCTGAACCATTAGGTATAGAATTTCCATAACCTAAATACTAGTATGTCAGAAAGGTAAACACCAATGCTGAGACTAGGAGCAGAGTCTGGAGCCTAACAGGCAGAAAAGAGAAGATTCAAAAGACCCAGCACGCCAGTTGTGCTCCTAACAGTATTTAGCATGCCCCTCTCTCTCGGGCCATCAGTTTATAAAAATCTTGAGAAGTAAACACAAAAGAATAAGGGCTGATAAACATGGTGGGAATTATCAGCATCAGAGTTTAAACTTTCTCATAATCATGATACAAGCTACAGAGCAATGAAGGATCAACATAGATGCTACGCTAATAAGAAACATCCTTCACATCATGGTCTGTATTGTAAATGCAAATATTGGCTCACAGAATAAAAAGCAACGTAGCCATGGAACAACAACTAATCACAGAGAAATAGTAAAGTCATAGCCCGTGAGAAAACTCCTTGCAGAGCTGTACCTCAGGTTTTGACAACAATATGGCAATTCCATGTGTTGTCTAGCAACTCTGTGCATTTTAATACATTTTTCAGCAAATATATAGACAGTGTTCTCTGTTAATGTAAAGGTTTGGCTGAGGCATTTGCATAATATCATCTGCCTTATGCAAACACCTTGCAAACCTTTGTATTATTTGTTGTTATGAGTGTTCTCTTCCTCACATCCTGTGAATCTCTTGTGCTTTTGGATATTTTTATGCAAAAAGAAAAAAGAAATTGCCTTTGTGAAAAACCAGTAACCTTAAATACATTATTTCAAAAGTTGCAAAACCCATTACTGAATTTCCGGTGTTAAAAAATGCATTGCAGGTAGCTGATTCTTAATAAGGAAGAATTAACTTATAGTTAAATATTGCCATTATTTGAAGAAGAATTACATCCTGAAAACAATGAAGAATTGTCTTTTCTGTAGTTTTTAACTTTTTCACTAATTGAAGATATAGTCCATTTAATTTGCATCAGATCAGTTTATGGTTGTCTCACCCATGGGGTAAAACAGTCAATGCCTCTCTACCCATTAAATTGCCAGTGTGATGAGTGTGTGTGTGCATGTGTGTGTGGAGAGAGAGAGAGAGAGAGAGAGAGAGAGAGAGAGAGAGAGGGAGAGAGAGAGAGGCAGACAACAAGAGGTAGAATGAGCTAACAGACATGGGAAAGTATTTGCACCAAAGGCCAATGGTTTAGCAGATACAGCTAGAAGTATATGGCCAAGAGAAGAAACAGGAGGCTGCTACTTACAGGTAGACTGGTCAAATAAATAATGTATTAAGGCTAATTGGAGTCATGTGTCTTACCGCTGAAAAATGGAGTTACACGTTTTAACAGGAGGAAGCTAGAATGACCCCTAGAGTGTTCGATTGGAATTGAATATATCAATGTGAATTCATGGTTTTCGATAAATAGATAGCTACATAGATAGATAGATAGATAGATAGATAGATAGATAGATAGATAGATAGATAGATAGATAAACAAACACAGAAATGAATATAGAAGTGAAAGTGTGTGTACATATTTTAATTATACATGTATGTATATACTAGATCTATTTCCTGGCTCTGTTTCCCGAGATGCCCTAGAGGCATTAACTCCCAGTAGGGTGGACCACACCAAGTGTCCAGATCTTGACTTCTAAATGCCAGGACCCAGAGCTTCTCAAAGAAATGGTTGAATCCAAGCTGGGGCATAAAATATAAGATGAGCCTGGACATCCTGTTATATGAGAAAATAAAGATGTGCTCAAAGAACGCTGGGAGTGTTTCAGAAAACAGCTTTGTGGGACTTTCTGTAGCTCAAACTGAGACCATTTGAGCTACTGTGTAGTGGTACAGTATATCTCATTGAACAAAACCCACAGGGATTTAAATAAATGAGTGTATAAATAAAGAGAAGGGAAGCTTCTCCTTAAGGTAGAAAATTAACTTATAAATGTAGAAGGAATGGCAGAATTAGAAATAACCATTTGGCAATCATTTAAAAAATAAATGAAAAATAATTAATTTAATCATTTAATAAATTTAAAATAATTCAGGCAGGAAACAAAAATGGATGATAAAATTAGTGGATGAAATTTGGATGAAATATAGGTATTTACATAGGTTCAAAGTCTCTTCTGGCAAACTACTTACTAATCGTAAATAGGAAAATAGTAACTTCATATTACAGAGACACAGCAAATACCATCTTATTCAAGTGATCAAAGTTAACATCACCAGTAACATGACAAATTGATGTCACAAGTCATCTGACGAGATGCATTCAGAACATAGCATCACTGCTATGATCTTGCAGCCAAAAATGCAAAGCTTGAATCCAATCATGAAGAAATAGCAAACAAACCCAAATTCAAGACTGTTCTACAAAATCACAAGCCTGTACTTTTTGAAAGTGTCAAGGTCATGAAGGGCAAGGACAGTCTTATTTTGGTTTAATGGAGACTTAAGTGGCACAGTTAAATACAAAGCTTGACCCAGGATTGGGTTCTTATTAATGGAACAATTAGGAAAATACGCAATGGAGTCTCTGGATGAAAGGACTTCCAACTTCTATATAAATTTGAACATATTTCAAAATAAAAGGAATAACTCAAAAAAAAAAAAAAACTGTGACAAAAGTCTTTGGCCATGTGTGTTAAAGAGAGAACATATGCGTGGGGAAAGGTCGAGGCCAGCATATTTTTACCCAGAAGATATATCTTCCTTTGGTGGGATATTGTGAGTATTAATCAATGGTAATATCATTGACTTCGTCCATCAATTGAGTGAAGTGTCTCCTCTGAGGAAATATTATAACTATGGAAAAATCTTGGTTATTATCTCTTGACATCTTAGGACTCTCATTTATAAAAACATAAACCTTTAAATGGCTTGAGTAACAAATGAGTTACATTTCAAACCCACTTTCCACCATGATTTTATCAAGAATAGAAAATATTTGACCATGAATGGTGGCTCATGCCTGTAATCCCAGCACTTTCGGAGGCTGATTAAAATGCAACTGTGTGCATTATAGTTGGAGATTGCAATGAGCTATGATGACACCATTGTACTCCAGCCTGGGTGACAGCTAGACACTGTCTCTAAAAAATAGAAAATTTAAAAAAGAATAGAAAATACTGCTAATATTTAGGTAGTAATTTGTTTTTAAATAAAATTACATTCAGATTTGGTCATACATTTGGAAATCAAAAATTTATTTCCAATTAAATTTACCTATTTTTGATGTCCAACAAAAAATTTATAAAATAGCTCACTGGAGCAGAATCGAAACATGGCCCCAAAGGCCACAGAGATTTGTGAACATAATAAAACCATGGACAAATAATTGAGCCACTCCAAGAAGTCATTAGATTTCTTCTTATTTGCAGTATGTGGAAGAATCAATCAAACTTATAATTTTGCATAGATTCTCTCACCAAGTTGAAAACTTTGCCCTTTAAATGACACGAATTCAAATTAGAAAGTATTTTTTTTTTCCGAAACAAAGGACACATAAAATTTAGTTGCAAAAGGCCATTAAGAATGCAATTGCTGATGATAAACAATATGGAAACAATCACAGTATGGAAACAAAAACAAACATTCCCCAGGGCCAAGTCAAAGACTCAAAGACAAAGAAATAAAATTGTTCATTCTCACTATTTCACAAACACAAGA